GAGCCTAATTTATCTCTCTTTTTCAATAATTTCGACTCGTTTTTTAACGTCATTTTGTCTCCTTTCCTCACGTCGTCAAAAGTAAGTTTCGCATCAATTCGGCAAAACTCGACGTGCGTAATGACACACTAAAAAGTATCATTAAACATCGTCTTTCATTGGTGGTCAAACTTTCTTCATAAGAACAAATCACACTAAACCAGAAAATCAATGAGTTGGGCCCGCTACACGTTTTGAATCGAAAGCGTTTCCAACAGAATATGAAAAGCTTAACTTTGAAGTTCCATAATATGTATTTGACAGATACACTTAAAATATAGAGAGGGCAAGGAAAGCTGCATTTTGATTTGTCTGCATCGATATATCGATATATTCTTGGCGTACATTTCCGTCGTACTGGTTTCAGAGGCTAAAGAATATTCCTTTCACCCTTCCTGAATAATTTTAATCTCGCTTTCTTTTATTTTTTTTATGCGGTTTTATCAGACAATAAGCGATGCTTAGAGTTATGCAAATAGCAAGCCTTGTGTCATTCATATGTTGCAGAACTGATATGTACCATGTTCGGTATACATAAACTATTCTTTGCATCGTCTTTGGGCAAACATGTGCAGTTGAATTTCAGTTATTCTGGACAAGGCTAGCAAAATCCTCTACCGAAATCAGATGAAATAAATCATTTTAATCTTGGTTGTCTCTAACATTAATTTATGACCTAAATATGAGAAATGAGGAGCGACAAAAGGCTTTTGACAGATCAGTGTATCAATTGGAGGTCTCTATGATCACAATCTTTGAAAGAATTGTTTCGGGACACTTCTTGAAAATAGCACTTGTGAAATAGGAATGTACTTTAAATCTAAAACACCGTGTTCACTTTGCTAGTTTTCCTGCCCCCCCAACCTCCCTCCCCCCCACCCCACACCCCAGTTACAATCTTCGTCCACGCGCATAGTATTGAATAAAAGTTAAGGTATGAAGGGGAGAGGTGTATATGGGAGACTTTTCATTTTGTTGTTGCTTTTAATCGTAAAAAAGGAGTTGTCCCAAACAGTTTGAAAAACGTAGGCGGCATTTTTCAATATTTTTTTTCAAAGTAACAATCATGTTAAGTGAAACTACTAAATCGCACAAAAATTATTTGACCCACTAATTGCAACTTCAAAACTAACTTCTTATTCTTCTGCATTTCTCACTCTAGCTCTTTAACATCTAAAGTTTCCCCTTCTTACATTAAAAAGGGTTCTATAGAATTAAAAATTGATTGTCATGCACAGCTGGTGAACTAAGCTTCCTATACTTCAGTGAGCTGTGAATACAAATATCAGTGATAACAGGTAATAATGATAATATTAATTTTAAAGAATTTCGCCTAAAATAAGAAAACTGCATCTGAAGTACAAAACATTCTTAAAACATGTATCAAAAATCTCAAGAAAACACTCCTTAGAGAAAAGATTTTAATCCCAAGCATATATTACATATATGCATATATTACATATATGCATATATTACACAAGACTGAAAAGAAAGCCACAAGATTGAAAAGAAATTGCTCTGAAGAAGTATTTTTTGCCGAGAGAACAGCTGAGTACAAAGAGTACCTTGTTAACCAGGGTTACCCTTCTAAATTAGTTTCTAAACAATTCTCCAAAGCCTCCGCCATCCCTAGACATAATTTACTCAGGACTCGTGGAAAAGAAGCGAAAAAACTATTTCCATTTGTTACTACATTTAATCCTAACTTGTATGACGTAGGCAACATAATCAGAAAGCATTTGTTTACTTTGCAATCTAACCCCAAACTGAAAGAACTTTTTCCTCGAAGTTCTATCATACCATCTTTTCGTCGATCGAAAAATCTCAAAGAATTGTTAGCACCATCTCGTTTTAGAACTGCCAGCGAGAGACAAACCATTCCTCATAACAATGGCTGCTTTAAATGCGATAGGAAAAGATGCGACCTCTGTCAGAATTTCTTTGTTGAATCTAAATCATTTCTCAGCTTTCAGACGGGCAAAAATTACACCATTCACTCTAGACTTTCCTGTGACTCTAAAAATGTGATTTACTTGGCTTCCTGTAAGAAATGTCGCCTGCAATACGTGGGATCTACTAC